TGAGTATGAGTACATCTATCCTTGCCCGCCGGGACAGGCCGAGTTCCTGACCCAGGGTGCTCATCCCGAGGCCTTGTGGAGTCTGATGACAGTCCGGAAAGTCGGCCGTGACTTTGAAGGGAGACAATGGATTGACCTCGTTCGGCAGCTGACAACGACCAACGAGATTCTACGCACGACCTTTACTCGCTGTCACGGAAAGTGGTATGGTGTTGTTCTCCGCGACGCAACTCCCGTGGTCGAGATCTATGAAGACGTCAGCGATGAGCAGAGACAACAAATCATCAAGTCTCTTGACGACTACCGGTTTGTGTTTGGCAAGCCCTTTATTCGCTACGCCATTCTCCATTTGTCGACAGGCGATACCGAAATTGTCACCAAGCTCGACCATGGCCTGTACGACGGAACGCTTCTCCGCATATTTGGCGAGCACTTTGAGGCTTACCAAGACAATGTTCCTGTGGAACGCTTCACTCCATTCAAAGACTTTGCATTCTACATCTGGCAGATGGACAAGTCCCGCACGCTGTCGTTCTGGAAGCAATCTGAGAAGCGCCCTATTGCCTTCGAATTCCCCAGCAGCAGTGCCACCGAACCACGCATCAACTCTGTGCATGTCCACACCATCAACCTTGAATTTGATGCGTTCGCTAAGTCCACCGGTGCCACTGTCTCCATCATCTTCCAGTCCATCTTCCAGCTCTGGCTGGCGCTGCGCAGCAACCAAGGCGACGTCGCCTTCGACTACCTCTACACAGGTCGCAACATTGATCTGCCTGACCCTCAAACCATCAACGGCACCTGTGCAAACTTCCTTCCCATGCGGTCGAAAGTGGACCCCTCAATGCCTGTGTCAGAATTCCTGCGTCAAACCCAGGATGAATTCTGGCAGTACACCGAAAACAGTACGGTCGGTGTGGATGAGATTCACGAAGCCTGTGAAACGACGCGTGAAGGATTCTCGAACAAGACCCTCTTCCTCTTCCAGCCGTTTGAGCCGGCCCCTGCGACAGCGAAGCAGTATCAGAAGTGGATTGTGATGGCCAAGTCTCAAGTGACGATGCCGCAGCCATATGCGGTAGTGTTTGAGGTTGTCAAGACAGCGGATGTAAATGAGTATAAGCTCAAATTTGCCTTTGACAAACGTGTTTATGAGAAGGAACAAGTACAGGAGGAGACACAGGTGATTGGGAAGTTGTTGGCTAAGGTCATGGAGAATGCTGAGGCGCCCGTGGGTGATGTTCTGGGATCGTTTCGCTCTTGATTGATCTAAATGATTGTATATAGATAAAAGTTAATGAATTTGTTTTGATTGAGAAAAAGTACCTTGCCCTGATTTGATCTCGTACCTTTGTCTTTATTAATCCAACCAGTAAGAGCGAGTTGTGAGTTGTCGATGGAGTGTCTGGTTTAGAAGCGCAGCTGAGGAAAATATCTATTGCTTGCTGGAATCGACACAACCACATTAACCATCCAAAACGCCATCAATTACTACTCCTGCTTCGTCGAGCTCAAATCTCACAAGCACCAGGTCCACGACATGGCTCCAAACCTGGAACCGTCCCAGCGAGCGCTCATCCTTCTGACAAGTCGATGCATCACTTACCAACAAGGACAAAAAGACACTTCCACAGTCCATTTTGTACTTTTGTTCTTAGGTGTATTAATGCCTGATGCTACCCAGGCCGCTCTGTGTCTTATGGATGGAATCATGCTCAGCAAGAGCACCAGGCCCTTTACCGGGCTTCATCAGCAACAGTGTGTTGCCTACGCAACAAGGCTCTCTACTCGCTGATCCAGTTCAGATTAAAGTCAGACTTCCGCTCCTCCGCGTTGGGATAGTAAGCAGTTGACTCTGAGCTCACCAGTCTAAGGCGCCGATAACAGCCTCGTCGAGGACCACCCACCGCGACGGAAGCAGTTACGATTCATCCAAGCTCTTGCAGATGGACATTATTGATGTGCTTCCTGAGTATCCAAAGTATTATACACCTCTTATCCTCGATCATACTACTTACAAAGCCGCGACAGCCAAAGCAGCAGCAGCCACAGCCCCAACCACATTCAACTCGAGAATCCCCGCACCGTTCCCTGTCCCAGTAGCACCAGCAGAACTAGTCGTCGTCGAAGCCACACTAGACGAGTTTCCTGCCTTGACACTCGTCTTCATCGTCGCCGTCGCACTGGCAGTCATACTCGGCGCAGCGGTAATCAACAGACTACTCGCCTCGCTCGACGTTGTGGTCATCGCGTCCCCCGTAGTCGACGCACTCGCCGTCGCAGCAAGCGTGGGCGTAGACGCAGCCGCACCCGGCCCATACCCGGGGAGATAGCTCGGCTCGTAGGTCGCGGTACCGGTGTACTGCCCCGGACAAGCGGGATTATCATGCTTGGGCGGGGCGCGACCGCCGCCGCAGTCGGGGATGTCGCAGATTTCGCCTGTGCCGGGGACGTACCAGATCATGCTGGCTTCGTTCCATTGGTTGTGGGTTTGGGAGGAGATACAGCCTTTCAGGTCGGTGCGAGCGTAGACGGTGGAGGCGAGGGTTGTCGCTAGAAGGAGGAGGAATTTCATTTTGCTGGAGGGGTTCATAGAAGAGGGGGTATCAGATGCGAAGTAATACATTAACGAGTGACTATTCAAAGGAGTGATCGAATTATCGAAAGGACAGGAGTTGTCTGAGACGAAAGTGGAGGTAATGTTGACAACGCAGGGGACTGAGTAGTATTATAAGTCTGGCTTTAGGCAATCTAGACCTGGGCCCATGGAAACTGAGTTTAGGCCTAATGATTAGACTAAGCGATAGCTGACTAGAGAAGAAGCTGAAACTACGGGATTGAGATGCATTTGATCCAATTATGAGCTGCGAGACAGTCTTCAAATGAACTAACCGTCTGACACGTCGTCAATTGTGGTTCATACAGCACCTTCCGTCACAGGACTTTTATCCAAGTTCTGAAATCCCATGGAAAGATGCAGCATGATTCAGGGACCATCGGTAATTCGGCGTCGGCATCTCCGGCTCTAGTCCACTTTGGGTCCCCTTCCGAAATTGGGAGTGTCCTAATTTTAGGTCGAGATTCAGCCTCAGGCTTGGAGTGGAGCTCAGGGACCTGTTGACTTGACCTGTGTGCCTCTCTCAGATCGAAGAATATAGAATATTCTGATGCGGTATCTTGTTTGCCAGTAGATTCGGTTTGCAGCTGCTCTGATGAGCGACCACCTAGTTGCTGCAGGAGAAAAATTAAGCTAAAGTGGGGTGAAATTAACACGGGTGAAAAGTTTATGGATGTGGAGGAGGGACAAAAATGAAAAGGGCAAAAGAAATCTCCCCGACAGGGAGTCGAACCCTGGTCTCCCGCGCTCGTTCTCTATTGAGTGACAAGCGGAAATCATGACCGTTAGACCATCGAGGATTTCTTGCTGCAAAATCTCATAATTTAAATACATGAAGATCTCTTTGGGATTCCCTCTTCACTCCTTGCAACCATCAACACCTACCACTCCTTTGATTCAAGGATATGTAATGTTTGTTCCAAATTCTCGTATTTCATCATAGACATCTCCATTCCCATATTTTGATTAGGTTTCTTTGACTCACTGCGTTGCTCAGATGCCGCATCTCATTGATCTCATGATTATATGTCTTGCCCTGCGGGTAAACTTCGGCCTTGACACATGGATTGCATCTATACCTTCGTTCCACTACTGGTGGACATTGGCATGGCATTGCAACAATGTTCATTCATGGTATGTCTAGGTCTGATATGTGTCTCCGGAATTTAGGGCCGACTTCCCCGCCATGAAAGGAGAGCTTCATGTGCTCGTATTCTGGCACCCACTGGAAGGGGTCCTATTGGTGCATGTATCCTACTTCTCGCTGTAGGTCTAAACCGACGAGTATAGCACAGATGAGAAGTGGTCACCAGACAAGCTTATCTCAACCTATACAAACAATGACAGCGACATTGGTATATAAATCCCGACAATCCAGCGTAACCAACATACCTCAAAACTCCGGACTCGCAAGCTCTTACAATCACAATGATCCCCAAAACAGAGAAAGACAACCAGATCATCGAAAAGGCCAAAAGCCTTCAAGGTGTCTGCTGGGGCGAGGAATATGAGAAGATGATATCAGGGATACTGTAAGGACATCGCTCAGAACACCGAACCACTGCTAAGCCGCTGTACAGATATAGTCCCCTCGCATCGGAGCTCATAGAGGGTCGCACCAAGGCGCGCTTCCTAATGTCGGAGTTCAATGCTCCTCCTAAACCCGATGTGCCGTTCTCTGAGACCGTTGCGCAGAGGGAGGTGACATTAAGAAAGTTGTTTGGCCGGGCAGGAAGGGGAATCTATATCGAGCCTCCTCTCTTTGTGGACTATGGATGTAACATCAGTGTTGGAGATGGTTTTTATGCGAACTTCAAGTAAGTCGTGCATCCAACAAACGATACCGGATGAAGCTGATAGAGCAGTTTGACTGTCCTGGACTGTGGACTGGTCACCGTCGGAAACAACGTGGAGATTGGCCCGAATGTAAACATCATCACGGGCGAGCATGAGACGAAGATCGAAGCACGTCGCACACATCGAGGAATGGAGTTCACCAGGGAAGTCATTATCGGTGATGATTGCTGGATTGGAGCGAATGTGACTATCTTGGCTGGGGTGACCATTGGATCAGGGTGCTCCATCGGTGCTGGCTCCGTGGTCAAGAGAGATATCCCGCCGTACAGTATCGCAGTGGGAAGTCCTGCTCGAGTTATCAGGTCGGCAGTCTGAAGTTGCCGCTATGACCCCTCTGCAGACTTTTGTTTTGTTCAAATGATGTTACTCGAGTCGGGGTACGGCTGTATTGAGCTGAAAATATCATTTCCAAAATCCATGTCCCATTTCGAAGTGCCTATGCATCGTCTCAATCTCCGCTACTTGCACTTTGGATGTCCTAAACGTCTTGTATTTCTTCTTATTTTATATATTACAACACTTATCCCTAAGCTTTCACTACAGTCGAAAGATATCTCAGTACCTTGTCAACCAGAAAGTTCCGAGGTTCAGCCTGATCATCATTACTCAACGCATGAGACGCATTCGGTATTATACCACTGTTTTCGTCCCATATCTCGGCTTCCCCATTATGATCTGTGGCCTTTCCCCACCTAGACAGTAACCCCTCCTTGTCAACCCAGGCAGGAACCGACTGGTCCGCCCCAGAAAACAACACCATCAGTTTCCCCCTCAGCAGCCCTTGCTCTCTAATCATCCCGAACGTCTTCCCCAACTGCTCATCGCTCAGATCCGAACTAAACAAATCATCCTCACTCGGCGACAGCGGACTCTCAGGACTCGTCAGACTCAGGAACCGCCGCGCACTCAGCGGCGTATGAGCCGGGTATACCAGCGAAGTCATCGCCAACGGCAGCAGAACATCAGTGCCAGCCTCCGCGTCGCGAGCAGCCTCCCTCGCCATGATAGTCAACTTCTCAAACACAGGCCGGATCTCCGCCGGCGTCCTATCTCCCAGCCCCTCGGCAAGAACCCACTGGATCGCTTCCCGATCCGACACAGGGGCCTGCATTATCGCCCCGTCGAGCGGCATTCGCTCGATATGCTCGAGGGAGGGGTCGAAGGCGGGGGTGTGCGTGTGCGGATTTGGTCGGGACAGGTAGTGCAGTACGCACTGGCTGCCTGTTGAATGGCCCATGAGGACGATCTTCCCGCCGCTGGCGCTGCCGCCGAATTTATCTGCCTTGTACTCCTTGATGTACTTCAGACACTGTGCGATCTCGTTGGTGTCTCGGTCGAGGTGTCCCAGTCCCCAGGATTGATAGGAGGAGGTCAGGGTCAGGGTGAAGAGGGACCATTCCGTTGGTTGGAGGGCGTGAGCGAGATCCGCCAGGTAGGATGTTGTTGCTAGGCCATCGCCGAGACCGCCGACGAAGAGGAGACTGTGTGGTTTGCGGGTGGTGGTTGTGGTGTATTCGAATGTGACGAGGGTTTCTGTCTAAATTGCAGGTCTGTTAGTCTGTCTGTTGCGCCGTGCGAAGGGAGGGAACGTACGTAGTGGTGTAGAATGCCTGGCAGACCGCCCTTGGGCCAGAATTTTGAGTACATATCGAATGTGTATAGAGCAGCAATTGGACGTTTTGATTGTGGTTGAAGCTGGGATGGAGAAGAAAACCTGCAGGGAACAGTAGAAAGCGTATCCAGCAATGCATTGGTGCCATGCCCCTCGTCCAATCTGATAAATGTCCGAGATCGGCACTGCGGGTCCCCGTTTGTCTCCGTGTCTCATCTGCTGCAGTCTGATGGGGTTGGCACGGAGCTGAAGCCCGTTATCAATCTAACATACGATACATAGTGGGACCTTTCCATAATACAGATACATTCTCCACAATACATTACTTGGTCTAATACCTGCTACCTTGGTCATAAAAGACATAACAAGTGGAGTTAGCTAGGAACCAGTTACGTACACCAGGCTCGCTAACAAGTGCCAGAAGGACTAGATCTGATTAGATTTCTTGGAACAAGACAAAGCGGATCTGATTAGATGTTGTTCGGCTACAACCCCTGCTTCGGGTTAGACCGAGTAAACGCCAGTTTCGCACACTGAAAACTTCTCGGTTCTCACACAGTTCGAGTGACAATGTTTTGTTGAGGAATTAGACGTAAGTAGCAGCATCGAACTTCTTTACGAGTAGTTCTACAGAGGAAAAGGAAGAGTCAGGGACCATGGTTTCATGATGTGACACTAGGTCTTCGTCGCGACATAGGTGCGGTACTCCGTAGGTATGATCGATTCCATCATTATAGGCCAAGAACAGCAGAAAGCACAGGTACATGCACAGTGAGCTTCTTAACCTTGGCCTAGGCTTGTGACTTAAGCTGGTTCAATAGACGAGTTCCCCTGTATCTCTCACAATGTTTAAACACAAAGTATTGTACCGTAAGCTTGACGGGTAATCTTACCATACCGTAATTCGACTGGACATTACAAGCCAAGTCTTATCTGATCCAACTATGGAGCACTCTACGTATCCAACCAAGGAGGTCAGGCCCTACCGGGCTGCCAATGGGAGAAAACAGTGTAATGTGCGCTATTTCCATCAGGCAATTCCGGTGTACGGCCCACTGGCTTCGGATCAGATAACTTTGCACTATGACTGAACCTGGGAATGTGCCTGTACTCTTCCCACAATAGTACTCCGTATACTGTATGAAAACGCTAATCTGTGTGCCATGGAAAGCCTCACTGTGTGGGGAAAACCAGTATTTCGCCTAAAAATGCCCAACTAAGCGAGGATTCTGCAAGTAGATGGAAAGGGGGGAACAAAATTCTGCTGGAAGGACCAGGACGGGCGATCCTTGCTACACAGAGAGACTTGGTCCGAGACCGAATGAGATCGGGCGAGCTCGGTTAGCTGGCAGGGCTGACAGTCATAGCTCCACAGGAATGGCTGTGGACTCGGCTTAATATCTGATTAGATTGATAATACGGTCTAGATTATTACAAGCTGCACATGAGCCTGGACCAGTCATTGGTGGTGTTTGAGTCTTATCACACTCTAGTTCCTACACTGAAGTACCTTCCTCAGGATACAATTATCTCGTTTTACATTAAAAGAAAATTAAATTAAGCCTAGTAATTACAGCTTCGCATCCCACGCCATCCGATCCGAACTCTCCAGCGGTCTTTCCCTCCCATCCCAGAAAAGTGGACACAGCTGAAACCATTTCTCCCGGCTGCAATACACATGGACCGATCGCTTATGGCCCAGATCCACGTATTTCTGGACCGTCAGGCCATGCGCATTCTCATACGACAGGACAGTGGTATTCGTTGCCTTGGGTTCCCCAACAACACACATCGTCCGCGGCTCATCTAGGAAAATATAGTGGATCACGCTAGACCACCACGCGTTGACTCTGTACGCGCCGCGGACGCTGGACTCGCCGACGAGCGAATGCCGGCCGCGATCATAGTCGCCGGCGTCGTAGTGTGCTCCGTAGTGGTCCTCCTTTGCCCAATATACTTCGAAATAGGAGAATGGAAGCTCGTCGAACCGTCCGAATAAACACAGGACGTGCTTGTCTTCGTGGAGCTGGCGCAGGTATTTGCGGTGGTGCTCCAGGTCGCCGGTCTCGTTCCATCCCTTGGCGACGCGCGGGTCGTTCTGCCATTTGTGGAAGAGTTGCAGGTGCTCTTCGTTTTGCCAGTCGACCGCCATGAGTGAGAAATGCTGGTCCAGGTGTGGGATGTAGCGGCTGTAGACTAGTGAGCCTGGGGTGGGTTTCTGAGGGCGGATAGGGTGCCGGGTGTAGATTCTCTCGCTGGGGAACTTCATGGAGAACTCATAGTTTTGAGCGAGAGGGGGATAGGAGCTTCCCGATCGTCGAAGCAGGCCGTGAGTTCCGTGGTCGACGGCCCATATCGGACGTGGTCCAACCGGTGACCCGGCTCCTTGCCAGAAGGCGGAGCGTAGTAGAATGAGTGTGTCGGTTTCGGAGGGCTGGTTCTCAGTACCGAAGGGAACTCGAGGAGAAGGGAAGGGAACGACCAGCCCAGTGCGCAGGCATTCCTCACGGATGATTTCCTTGTCAGACCCATTCAGATCCAAGCGGACAATCTCGTGTTGGGGATATGTCAGGAAGAGGGCGTGGATGACATTCCAGATCTGTCCCAGGGTCGGTGGCTCCTGGCCAGTCCAGTGGAAGGAGGTTCCGGGAGCTCTGCGACTGCGCGCCCATGGGCTATTGTCGTTATCTGGGATATTCTGGGCGGTCTCGTCAAAGGAAATGTCTGTGTAGGTCAACGAGGCCGAGTGCAGAGGCTCTGGGAGCGCCTGTCCCTTCTGATCGTCATGTAGTCGCAATTGAAGCACCCGGGGTGTGGATTCAGAAACAACATGGATCGCATAACTGGTGAGATATGGATGAGGAAGTTTGACCGAGGGATATGTCCGGTTGTTGGCCGAGGTTGGTTCGGCAGTGGTCATATTGATTTGAGGAACCTCGATGCTGCTTTGAGTCGTCATCGCGCAATGAGTCTGTGAGTAAGATGATTCTTCTCCAAGCAGAAAAGACGTAGGACAAGTACATATAGGTAAGACATGACCGAGGGATATTCAGAGGCCGCGGTAGAGAGTGGAGACAGGAGTCTAGACGATACCGACCATCCGGCATAATCCTATAAATTCAGCCCCCAATATGACTTAAATTACTTGATCCCTATGGACAAGAGTATAAGAACACTATTCCTCATTGAGAAGCGTTAACGGAGTGCTTAAATCGCCATAAATCCGGTCTCAGACTGTATACTTACGTTGCTAAGATCTCGGATCCTGCAGACATCAGCAATGTCAACAGAAGCACACCCAACAGTACAAGGATGCCTCGTCTCGTTTCCAACACCTCACATTCTCCTCCTCACACTCAACCGTCCAGAGAAACGGAATTGCATATCCCTCGCCACGAGCGCCGAGATACAACGCCTATGGACATGGTTCGACACACAGCCTGCTCTACATGTGGCCATTATTACCGGCACGGGCGAGTCCTTTTGTGCGGGCGCTGACCTCAAGGGTACACTCCTCTCATCTCTATTCGATTGAAACCAACTGACAAAACATCCCATAGAATGGAACGACCTCAACGCGCGCGGTATCACCAACGAAATGACAGCCCCCGGGTTAGCCGGCCTCCCTCGCCGACGAAGCAACAAACCAATCATCGCTGCCGTCAACGGATACTGTCTCGGAGGCGGTTTCGAGATGGTAGCCAACTGCGATATCGTGGTGGCCAGCGAAAACGCCACATTTGGTCTCCCCGAAGTGCAGCGAGGAATTGCCGCCGTCGCAGGCTCGCTACCTCGGCTGGTCCGCGTGCTGGGAAAACAGCGAGCAGCCGAGATCGCTCTGAGTGGGTTGAGCTTTTCTGCGTCCCAGCTCGAGCGTTGGGGGCTGGTGAATCGCGTGGTGGAGCATGGCCGGTTATTGGCGACGGCGGTGGAGATTGCAACCGCCATTTCTAGGAATAGTCCGGACAGTGTGCGTGTTACGATGGAAGGGCTGCATTACGGGTGGGAAATAGCCAGTGTGGAAGAGGCTAGCAGTGCGCTGGTTGACCGGTGGTATGCAAAGCTCATGGCTGGCGAAAATTTCCACGAGGGAGTACGAGCATTTGTGGAGAAGCGAAAGCCACGGTGGAGGCCGTCCAAGTTATGAAACTGTTGACAGGTGGTTGTAAATTGTGCCGCGATGAAGGAATACAGCTAAGTGCGCCATTTTATACAGCCCATCTGTATCAAAGGTAGCTCGCGTAGGGAACATTGGTCATGAATAGAGGGTACTGAATGTATTGGTACCTCGTTTCGTACGAGGATGTAATAGCATACGTGACGTGTATTATGTATTCGGGTAATACTGTATGTATGCTTACCCACTCGACCCGTAATATCACCAAGCACCAGTCAGATAATGAAGTATTGCGCAAGCCAGGCTTGTTCAAAATGGCTATTAGATGGTTGAGAATGTTTTAGTGCGATCAGATAACAGTTACCCCTCCATCTCGCAAGGCCAGTATGATGCTCGAGCCGAATATTCAGCCCCACTGGTCTGGAAAAGACCCAACCGTACGCTGCGTTGTTTTTGTACTCAGTGAACCAGGATGATATTACCTGGTTTATATGGGTCCTGTCCACTTGTTTGCACAAAGGGATACATGCTCGTTCCCCTCCATAGAAGACAACGTGGGTATCCATCGGGTCACGGTCACGGCGATCTCGGTAGATTTGTAGACTGCTTTACACAGTGTCTCCGGCCGTTCATCGGTGGAAAAATGCCAATAGCCTGGGCCCTGCTTTATATAACGCATGTCAAATCACTTTAGTCATCCATCGCAAACATCTCCCGTTCCCAGGAAGATACACTCCAGGATCCAAGACTAGAACAGGTGGACAATGGGTTCAATACAGCAAGATGACATTCACAATCAGAAATACCACTGCAATCAGTCATATGACTTAACGGCAGCCCGGTTGAATTGCAATGGCGTCGAATCATTTGAGTTCACGGGCCTTGCATCCGACGAGGCCTCGAGTCCCACAGGCATGAGAGACGAAATCGTGCTTTTATCCTGGCTCATTGCGATCCTGCGGACACGAGAAGGCGGCCAAATTCGGTATGAATGGGCATATAGGTATCCAGAAGAGGAGCCGGTACCTAGATATCTGGCTATGAATGAAGTAGTGGCGGGATTACAAAGTAGGGTCAAGGAAACTGCGGCAGCTGTCTCTCGGCATATTGCTGCAGATGCATCGAGTTCGTCGGCGCCAGCATCTCTGCTTCTGAGCACTGGCTCTCTTTTCCAGACGTCAGACGGAGCACAAGATGAAGTGAGTCAATGCGTGGATGTTGAATACCAGAAGTTAGCTGACCGCAGTAACAAAGGGGCTACTTCACCTAGAAGTCTCTTTCGAGAATGGGTTGCCCAAGATTCGTCCGACATGGCACTCTGAGAATATGTTGCCGTTTACAGTGACGCGATACGTCAGGACCCTCATCGACACGGTTAGGCTGTGCATTTCCAATTCTGATGCCTCCATCCAAGACTGCCTTCGACCTACCACATCCGATCTCGACGAGATATGGCGCTGGAATCACGACCTGCCACCTACGTATAATTTCTGCATGCACGAGATAATCTCCGATCAGGCTCAGAAGTTCCCCGACAAAGAAGCAATCGCATCCTGGGACGGCAGCCTGACATACAGGCAGATTGATCAGTATTCATCATTAGTCGCGCGCTCACTTATAGAGATGGGAGTCGGGCTGCATGATGTCTTACCAGTCTGCTTTGAGAAATCCAGATGGACGGTCGTCGCGGTTCTGGCCGTAATGAAAGCTGGCGCGACGTTTGTACTAATGGACCCGACGCTTCCGCTTGCGCGACTGCAGAACATGACCCAACAGGTCGGCGCGAAGATGATCGTTTCATCTCGGGGCCAGTACAACCTGGCGACGGAGATCATACCCAATGCAAAAGTGCTCGTCGTGGAGGAAAACACGTTCAGCAGTCTGTCCGCCGAACAGAACACCATACCCCTACCAACGGTTCCCTCCTCCGCCCTGATGTACATAATCTTTACATCCGGCAGCACAGGTACTCCGAAAGGAGTCAAAATATCCCACGAAACCTACACCAGTAGTGCTATTCCCCGAGCCAATGCTGTCGGCTACACGGAGGATTCCCGCGTTCTCGACTTTGCCTCCTACGCCTTCGACGTCAGCATCGACAGTATGCTTCTGACCCTGGGCAACGGTGGCTGTCTGTGCATTCCATCCGACGAAGACCGCCTGAACGACATCAATGGCGTGATACGGCGGATGAAAGTCAACTATGCGGGCCTGACGCCTTCGGTCGCCCGTATTCTAGACGCAGATGTAATATCCTCGCTCAGTGGCCTTGGCCTTGGAGGAGAGGCCGTCTCAGCGAGAGATGTCAATCTCTGGGGTCAGGACACCAGGATTATTATCGGCTACGGTCCCTGCGAATGCACGATTGGATGTACAGTGAATAGTAGCGCGGCAACGGGGAGAGACTATATCTCCATTGGCCCTGGTAATGGGGCAGTAATCTGGATAGTCGACCCTAATGACCATGAGTCTCTCGTGCCTGTCGGCGCGGTAGGAGAGCTGCTGGTAGAAGGTCCCATAGTAGGACAGGGCTACCTGAATAATCCGGAGAAAACTGCGGCAGCGTTTATTGAAGACCCCTCTTGGTTGATTGCGGGCCACAAGGGTTACCACGGTCGTCGGGGCCGTCTGTACAAGACCGGTGATCTGGGTCGATATGACCCGGATGGGTCAGGCGGTATTGTGTTCGTGGGACGCAAGGATACCCAAGTCAAATTGCGAGGACAACGGGTAGAGCTCGGGGAGATCGAAAGCCAATTGAGAGCCAGATTGCCCTCGGAGACGACTGTGATCGCCGAGGTGATTGTACCCCAAGGGTCTGGGGGACAACCGACGCTGGTGGCGTTTGTTGCTGCTCAGACGACCAAGGGACATGACCATACCGAACTTGAGGCGGCAGAGCTTCCCGATGAGCTGCGAAGGGCGCTGTCAGAAGCCGATGCGGAGCTGGCAAAGGTATTGCCTCGATATATGGTGCCAACGGCGTATATCCCTATCAACCACATCCCTACGTTGATTTCGGGCAAAACAGACCGCAAGAGACTGAGGCAGTTTGGTGCAACTGTTGACCTGCGCCAGCTGGACCAGGATGCTACGAACACTGCAACTCGGGAGCTGAGTGATCTGGAGCGACGCTTGCGACAGGCATGGAGCCAGACGTTGAAGCTCCGAGCGGATTCTATTCGTCTACAGGACAACTTCTTCGCTCTGGGTGGAGACTCCCTCACAGCCATGAAACTGGTCTCTGTATGTCGGTCCCAGGGTCTCGACCTCAGTGTCACCAGCATGTTTAGCAATCCTACCCTGTCAGCCATGGCCAGCGTTGTTCGTATTTGCGACGTCGACGTGCAAAGGGAAGTCCCGGCATTCTCAATGATCACGTCCGATGTCCAGAGTGCCTGCGTAGAGGCAGCAGAGCCCTGCGGAGTTGTCCCAGCAGATATTGAGGACATCTACCCCTGTACGCCAACACAGGAGTCTCTTTTCACTTTCTCGCTCAAGTCAGTCAAGCCCTACGTGGCACAGAGAGTTCTATGTATCCCGTCGCATATCGACCTCGACGCCTGGAGGAAGGCGTGGGAGGACGTGGTTGCCGCACTCCCCATCCTACGGACACGAGTGGCCCAGTTGCAAGAGCCTGGTCTTCAGCAAGTTGTACTCAAGAAGAGCGTTTCCTGGACGCAAGCCTCAAGTCTAGCGGAATACCTAGAGAAAGACCGAACCGAAAAGATGAATCTCGGAGAGAGGCTGGCCCGTTACGCCATCGTTGAAGACTCAGCCGACGGCAAGCGATACATGGTTTGGACTATTCACCACGTCCTGTACGATGGGTGGTCAGAGCCGATCATCCTCAAGAAAGTCAGCGACGCCCTGCAAGGGCAGCCAGTCGAGGTAATGACGCAGATGCGAGACTTTGTCAAATACGTGCGCGACTCGGATGACGCCGCAGTGCAGGAATTCTGGCGCCGGGAGCTGAAAGGTGCCGTCGGGCCTCAATTCCCGCGTCTACCCTCCAGAGACTTCATGCCTACCCCGGACGCCCTAGTCGAGCGTCAAGTCTCTCTTGATACCAGTTCCGGATCACCATTTACCATGGCGACATTGATTCGCGGCGCCTGGGCGCTCGTCGCGTCCCAATACACCGGAAGCGACGATATCGTGTTCGGCGAGACCCTCACAGGTCGCGACATCCCACTACCTGGAGTCGAAAGCATTGTTGGACCATTAATTGCAACGGTCCCCATCCGCGTGCGCATTCACCGGGGAAGTACTGTGGAGTCCTACCTGCAAGCCGTGCAGCAGAGTGTTTTGGCTCGTACCCCATACCAGCATTTGGGCATGCAGAACATCCGCAAGGTTAGCCAAGATGCGCAACACGCGTGCGAAACTGGTACTGGTCTGGTCATCCAGCCTGAACCAGAGTATGTCGGCAGCGAACTGGGCGTTGAGAGAGGGGACGTGGTTCTTGAAGCGCTGCATTTCAACCCGTATCCGCTGATGCTGGCTTGCGGGATTCGCAAGGGTGGTTTCCGGGTTTGCGCAAGCTTTGACAGCAGCTTGATTGAGATCAGGCAGATGGAACGGATGCTTGCCCAGCTTGAGACCGCTTGCTCGCAGTTGAGTAAAGGTCTTTCCCGGAGGGTTGACGAGATCTCGTGTCTCCCCGAAGCCGAGTTGAACCAGATCTGGCAATGGAATCGGAGTCCACCTTTGTCTCTGGACGAAGCAACCAGTAGGTTTCGTGCGAATGCAAGCACAAAGCCTGGTTCAAGCTATCCTCCCGCGATTGTTCCTTGGGTTTGTAACCCTCGAAACCCGTCCCTCCTCTCGCCTATCGGCTGTGTTGGTGAGCTCTGGCTTGAAGGAGCCCTCCTTTCTGGTGACACGGTTGATTCCCCTGCCTGGCTTGTGGCTGGAAGCTCTACCTGCGCTGGCCGAACTGGCAGAGTGCAAGCAACCGGCGACATGGTTCAGTTGCGAGAAGACGGCAGTTTAGTGTTTGTTGGTCGGAAGGAGAATGTTGTTCCTGTTCAAGGACATGCAGTGGATATCACAGAGATTGAAAGGTATCTCGCAGAACATCTTCCGTCGACAATCAGTGCCGCTGCTACTGTAGTGCGATCCTCATCCGACCAGGAGCTGGTTATGCTCATTGAGCAACCGGCTGCGGAGGAAGCCTGTATTGAGCTCCTGTCGGAGAAGCGCGAGATAGTGTGCGACTCGCCAGGTCAAGCCTTCCAGACCACAATTTGCGCGATGATCCCGGGCAGTCTTGCTGCAGCGTTGAAAAAGCTGGACAAATACATGCGAGACTCGCTTCCGTCGTATATGGCACCGTCCGCTTACATCGTGGTAGAGAAACTGCCCAATATGATGGGCGATATCGACCACAGTTTGCTCAATCAGATCGCCTCTCAGGTTACTCCACAAACCCTCAACCAGCTTCGTGATGGTTTGAGAAACGCTTGGACCAAGGCTACAATCCAAAACCACCTATCAGCTTCAGAAAGCATTCTGCGGTCTGCATGGGCCAAAGTGCTTCGTGTCGATCCGGAGCAGATCGACGTGGACGACAATTTCTTCCGGCGCGGTGGTGATTCCGTACTTGCAATGAAGCTAGTGTCGAGTCTCCGAGCGCAAGGCCACAGCTTGTCCGTGGCTGATATCTTCCGACACATGCGTCTCGGCGACGCTGCCAGAGTGTTGAAGGTGGATGAACGCTCAACAGAGAAGGTCAACTCATATCAGCCATTTTCGACGCTCCGTCTCCCAGACGTTCAGCAGTTCCTAACCGACACTGTCCGACCACAGCTTGGGGACCAAAAGTGGCCCATTCGAGACGTGTTGCCGGTGACCGACTCCCAGGCTCTGGATATCAGTGCAACCATTCAGCCGCCGAGGACGTCGATCCAGTATACAATGCTGTACTTTGACAACAGCGTTGACAGAGAGCAGTTGTTCCGTTCGTGCAGCGACCTGGTTAAGACGCACGAGATTCTCCGTACCGTCTTTATATCACACGAATCCAGCTTCTTGCAGGTTGTCTTAAATGAGTTGGAAATTCCTGTGCGCGCACACAAGGCTGACAAGCAGCTCGATCAATACGTCGCCAGCCTCTGCAGGGAGGACATCGAATCCAACTTCCAGTTAGGATGTCCATTCCTCCGACTTTTCTACGTCGAGGGAAACAACGGCGAATCCTGCCTCGTCATAGGCTTATCCCACGCCCAATACGATGGCGTCTCCCTGCCCAGGTTACTCCAAGACCTAGACGCCCTATACACCGGCACCCAGCTCGCCACCTTCTCCCCGTTCTCCTTGTACATGGCCCAGACCAGCGAAGAGCCAATCCAAAGCAAAGCAACGACCTACTGGCGCAACCTCCTCTCCGACTCCTCACTCTCGACTCTCGACATACCCTCCTCCGATCCCACCGACAAAGCAATCTTCCACACCCGCCCCGTCAACATTCATCCCCTCAAGGAAATCACCACCGCAAACCTCCTCACAGCAGCCTGGGCCATGGTCCTTGCTTGCCGTCTCCAAACACCAGACGTCACCTTCGGCAGCGTCACCTCCGGCCGCACCCTCGACATCCCCAACGCCGAGAACGTCATGGGCCCCTGCTACCAGCTCACCCCCGTCCGGGTCCCCTTCAAGCCCGACTGGACCGCAAGCGACTTACTCAACTTCGTCCAGACGCAGTCTGCCGAGTCTGCGGCCCATGACTTCCTCGGCTTTGAGAAGATCGCTAAGCTCGCGGGGTGGGGCTCAGGAAGGAAATGCTTTGATTCGATCGTGCATCATCAGGACTGGGAGGATTTCGAAATGATGCCGTTTGGTGGGGGGACTTGCCGGGTGGACATTGCAAATCCGCATGGGGATGCGGCGTATCCGGTCAAGGCTGTTTCGTTTGTGAAGGAGGGAGAGATACATGTTGGTGTGGTTGGTAGTGAGAGGGATGTAGTGTTTGTAGACGAGGTTCTGGGGGAATTGGTTGCTGCGGTTTTGGAGTTGGCTGGTCAGAGTAAAGAGGTGTTGCTTGATAGCAAGTTGTTTAGTATACAGTGACGATCTGGGGATAGATAGTTTGTGGTTGATTGATTCATGATTATATGTCTTCATTGCAGAGCACTTATCAAACGATGGTATATTAAGATGAATCAAGTCTATGTAAGGATTAAATATGTATCAATAACTACGCCACAGTCTGATGCATAACATTGGCTCTATAACTCTCCGACCTCTGCAGCAACTCCTCATGCGTCCCCCGATCCACACACTTTCCCCCCTCAATCAAGAAAATCACATCCGCCTTACGGATCGTATGCAACCGATGCGCAATCGCAATGACCGTGATCCCCTTTGCAGCCTTCTCCAACCCATCCTGCAACAGCTTCTCCGACTCCGCATCCAACGCACTCGTCGACTCATCCAGAATCAACAGCTTCGGTTTCCGAACCAGCGCCCTGGCAATCGACAGCCGTTGCTTCTGACCCCCAGAGAACTGACTCCCGTTCGGTCCACAGAGCGTCTGGTACCCGTCCGGCAAGGACTCAATCACATCGTGGATGTTCGCGAGCTTGCACGCCTCGACGATTTCGTCCATCGTTGCTTCGTGATCTGGTCGTGCTCCAAGACCGATGTTGAACGCGATGCTGCCCTCGAAGAGGACGCTCTCCTGGGGAACTAGCGCCATGGTGTCACGGAAGGAGACGTCGCGGTGTTTGGTGACGTCGACGCCGTCGACAAGGATAGCACCGGACTCGGGGGTGTAGAGCCGTTCTACGAGGGAGATGATGGTTGATTTGCCTGCGCCACTGGGTCCCACTAGCGCGCAGAACTGGCCTGGCCGGATATCAATGCCCAGGCCGTTGAGTACTTTGATGTCCGGTCGCGCGGGGTATGCGAAATGGACATCGCGGAGCTGCACGCTTGAGGCTTGGTGGTTTGATGGGACGGGCTTAGGCTCGGCTGTCGCTTCGGGGTCGTTCAAAACATGCGCGGTAGGGCTGCGCACGTGTCCTTGCATCTTGTCCGAGCCGATTTCGATGAGACTTAGGATCCGGGCCATTGCGGCGCGGGCGCTGGAGAGCTCCGGTGCAAGAGCAAACATTTGACTCCACAGGAGTGCACTGACGAGCAGGGAGAAGACCACAATCAGGAACTGGGTTTGCGTGTAGTTGCCTGCAATAATCTGCTTCGCACCCCACCAGTATGCCAGCGCGTTCACCAGGTTGCCGAGGAAGTAGGTCATTGCCTGCCACAGGCTTGCGTGCACGGTGACCTTGAATGTCTCTTTGCGTGGTCCCTTTAGCGATCGCCGATAGGTTTGGAGTGTCTCCTCTTCTAGGGAGAGGGATGCGATGGTCTTGATGGATGTGATGGCTTCCACGCCGATATCGACAGACTTTGTGTACGCGTTTTCGTGACGCTCCTCAAATTTCCCAAGCACATGGAGCTCCATCAGTCCGGCTCCAAGCAAAAGCGGTACCAGCGCCAGACAGACTAATGCGATCCTCCAGGCGATGATGTGAGTCAGAATGATCGCCGCAATGAGGTTGACACTGATTGAAAACAACGTGCCAATCACCGAACCGCTCAAGCCAGCCAAGGCATTGCCATCCCTGGTAATATATGACAGAAGCAAGGCTGGTGTGCGGCCCTCGGACTGATGCCATTGCAGGTCCTGCTCGAATAGTGACCTGAATGACAAGACCCGAACCGCGTAAACGATCTTCTCAGACACCCAGCCAAAACCAGACCAACTGACCACGTTGGCGAAGAACTCAATAATAGCGAGGATGAAGAACATCAGCCCGAAGAAGTTTCCTCTTGACCGGATGCTATCTGCGCTATGGCAGGGATTCAGACTGCCGACGGTGTTTCCGAAGATCACAGCCTCTCCGGAGAAGGCTCCGCCAACCACGCTCGAGCCAAGAAGTGCGAGAAAAATGAACAGTAGATGCGGTCGTAATGCTGGTGCGTAGCCTTTGGCAAGCGCCCAGAGGGACTTTTTCGGAGTTTCGGGCTCTTCTGCTTCCTCTGCAGCGTCCGCTACAGGGGTTTCGGACGTCGAGACTGGAATTTTCTCGGCGTCGCCAAAGTCGCCGAGGAGAACAGCGCTTTTCTCAATGTCGGCCTCGCTTGAGGATGCCTGATCGGACTTGCTGACGCTGTCGATGTTGATTGTCGTTTCGTCCTTGCTTGCAAGAGTCTGCAGATTGACAAGCTCAGCGTAGGTGCCATTCTTAGCCATGAGTGTCGCATGATTGCCTTGTTCCACGATATGACCCTTGTGCATGACAATGATGTTGTCCGCACCGGTAATTGTCGATAAGCGATGGGCAATCGTGATGATAGTCCTACCGGTGGCAATGTTAGAGATTGCCCGCTGGATGCGCTGTTCACTCCGTGAATCCAGAGACGCCGTAGCTTCATCTAGTATGAGCACTGCAGGATCCTTCACCAGAGCCCTAGCAAGCGCAACACGCTGTTTCTGGCCACCGCTGATCAGCCGGCCACTGGAGCCCACGACTGTACCGTATCCGTGTTGCAGCGCACTGATGAAGCCGTCTGCATCCGCAAGCGACGCAGCTTTGTTCACCAAACCAACTATTTCAACGACATTTGGACCCCGCGCCTCAGCTGCAGCGGTCAAATCCTTGCCGCCCCTGACTTCACTGGCGAGGTCGGCCAGGTCAGTGCTCAACAGGGTTGCCTTCAGGTGTGCATGGCTCGGATTGTTCGAGTTGATCAGCCCATGAGCAATGTTCTCTAAAAGCGACCGGTCAAGGAGAGAGGGCTCCTGCTGAACCAGGCTCAGAAAGCTTCTCAAGTCACGAGGGTTGATATCACGCAGGTCGTGGCCGTCGAAAAGAATCTGGCCCTGCGTGGGATCGTACAGTCTTGTCACCAAGCCCGCAATGGTCGACTTGCCACTACCCGATAGACCGACAATGGCGGTATGCTTGTTGGCCGGAATGCTAAGACTGATGTTGTCGAGCACGGTAATCTCGGGGCGCGAGGGATACGTGAAGGAAACATCCTTGAATTCAAAACCGCCCTCCGCCTGGGTAAGCCGAAGTCCAGAGCCGCTCGTACTGTCAATCATCGGCTCGCGGTCAATATCCTCACGCAACTTCTGGAACGAGGCGACGGCTGCGACGAAGAGGTGGAGGAAAGGCGCAACTTGACTAAGGAGCAAGGTGGCTGTTCGCGTTAGAGTGGCTCACTACCAAAGATTGAATCGAACTCACCTTCAACAAGAATGAAAATCACAGTAAAGATAGCACCCACCGTGGCACCGTGAGTATTGTCACTCACAGACTCGGCTATCCGTCTGCTCCCCTGCCAGAACGCCAGACCATTGGCAGAATATGCAATGAAATATAGCACTCCAGATTGTATGCCAACCGCCGTCGCCTTCTTCAACCCTTCAGTCTCTGCAGCCTTGAGTGCCTTGGAGAATTTCTCCTCCAGCCGCGCATTGGCACCAAAGGCTTGCACCACGACGGTGTTGGAAAGTGCCTCTGAAGCGATGGACGCGGCACTCGCAGCGTAATCCGACATGCGACCGGTGTACTTCTCGATATAGTGGCTTCCGACAAACGACATGAGAAAGTATGCCGGGATCAAGGAGACGAGCATTCCGGCAAGCTTGGCATCTTTGATAAAGGCCACGATGTATGCGGTGATGAAAAATGACAGACTCGATAAACATATCCCCACTTTCTCCGATGTGCCGGATCGAATAGCCTGTATGTCGCCATTAAGTCGCGATGCGATCTCACCGGGGGGTAGTTTATCAAAGTACGATGGTTCTTGTCGGAGGAGGTTCTGTAGATAAGTTTCCCGCAGGCGTTGCGCCAGTCGAGCGCCGTTCAGACTCCAGCATGAGAGGTGGACGTAGATTAGAACAAACTGAGCGATCGCCAGATATACGATAATCAGAATCTTGCCGTTGATATCATGTTGATAGTCGGAGTCAGAGTCTGATGATTCTGACTCGCCGCAGGTCACAGCGTTAAAGTCGTCGAGGAGCTGACCAAATAGGATTCCGATCAAGGGAAATGGGACTCCTGAAGCGGCTGCACTGACAATACCCAGCAGGAGTCGACCTAGGTCAATCTTGGAGGGATTACCCGAGAGAAGCAGACGGGGATAGCCCGATAGTTTCTGCGCGAGCTTCATGAGGACATGAGATAACGATGCCTGCTGCGCTTGCTGTCGTGTGTTGAAGCTGTGCAATGGTGCTGGACCTCATTGAACACGCGAGACTAGTTCTTCAAAGAAAACGGACCAAAGAAGCATGTTCTGATGGAAATTTCTCTAATCCCAAGACCGCAGTTAGTGATGTCCAAGAACAATAAACGGTAACGACACACTCGTCGTAATGTTACGTAAAACTTATCTGATCCGTAAAATCGAATCAGATGTCTCGGAGATTTCCCGTATAGTCTCCACTGATTGATAACAATGTATCATGCCACCACATTACTAGTGCATACGTGCCAGTATTCTATGATACAGTGAAATACAGACCATCTTGTGTATCCTGTGTCATGATGGATAGGTACGTATGTACCTGCCCCATCCTACAGCATCCACTCCCACCCATACCCTTGTCAGTTGTAGTCTGTACTAGTGCAAATCGCTTTGTATTGGATGAGAATCATGTCGTCGTCTTGACTAGTAACAGCGTGTCAACGTCGTCTGCCGCGTATCGGCACTGGAAGGAGTCCACACCGTCTTTAGCTAGCGCATCCCAGCATGGCCATCTTGCGTTGCCTTGCATTTTGCCAAGTTGGGAGGAAGTAAGTTGAAAAGCACGAGGAAGACGCTCGGTCCATGCTGATCCTTTGTCTTTTTCGTCAATCTATAACTTCTTCTCCGTCTTCTTTGTCCTATAGCGTAGACAGCACATTGTTCTATTTCTTCAAAAATGCTGTCGTCGTGGCAGAAAAAGTTCTTCCAGTCTCCGGAGCACCCTCCAGCTGAGGGTATTGCCCCTCCTAGGGACGATGGAGTGCCGAACCCAGAGACTGTCACATATCCGGATACCAAGCACCCTTCTGAAATCGTCAATCATGATGCAAGGGAAATGCTGCCAAATGAGGAGGCTCAAGACGGTGTCACTCAAGCTGAAGCTATCACGCTCACATGGTCCAAGACCTCTCTGGGAGCTGCCTATTTCCTGTAAGCCAAAAGCAAATCTATATTTTGAGGATAGCCGCTGAGCTACGTTAAACAACAGCATGTGGCTCTTGTACCTTGTCAATGGCCTCCAATCTTCCATTACCGGCAATCTCTCTGCCTACGTGACCAGCGGTTTCGAATCCCACTCTCTGATCCCCGTTATCTCGATCGTCTCCAGCGTCATGTCAGCGGCAACCTACATGCCGCTGGCGAAAGTCTTGAATCTCTGGGATAGATCTATTGGTTTCCTAATAATGGTGGCGTTTGCCACTCTGGGATTGATCCTCTCTGCGACGTGTCACGACATTGGAACCTACTGTGCCGCACAGGTAGGTCCTCCTGCTCTTCCCACTAAGCACAGACTGACCCGCTGCAAAGGTGTTCTACAGCATTGGCTTCGCCGGTATAATCTTCAGCGTCGATGTCATTACGGCCGATACGTCGACACTTCGCGACCGAGGTCTCGCCTACGCCTTTACGTCTTCTCCCTATATCATCACTGCGTTCGGGGGCCCTGCTGCGGCGGAGCACTTTTACGACTCGAACTGGCGATGGGCATATGGCTGTTTCTCTATTGTTTTGCCCGTCGTTGCCCTGCCCATGTTTTGCCTGCTGCGCTGGAATCGGCACAAGGCAAAGAAGAGCGGGCTTTTGAAGGCCAAGCCCGGCAGTGGCAGGACGTGGAAGGAGAGTATCAGGCACTATATCATCGAGTTTGACAGTAAGTATTTTTGGGACATCCGGAGATTCCATACTAATTGTCCTAGTACTCGGTGTCTTCTTCCTAGCCGCCGGCCTTGTGCTTTTCCTCCTGCCGTTTTCCATTGCCGGCTCCACCGAGGATGACTGGAAGTCGGCATCCATCATCACCATGCTCGTGATCGGTCTCCTCTGCCTTCTTGTCTTTGCTCTAGTCGAACGCTTTGTGGCACCCGTCCCCTTCCTCCCCTGGGCTCTTCTAGCCTCTAGAACCGTCCTCGGTGCCTGCATGGTAGATGTCTGCTACCAGATCGCATACTACTGCTGGTTCAACTACTATACTTCATACCTCCAGGTCGTCTACGGTACCAGCATCACAACTGCAGGATACATCACCAGCATCTTCGACGTCGTCTCGGGCGTCTGGCTATTCGTCGTGGGGTTCCTAATCAAGAAAACGAACCGTTTCCGCTGGCTGCTCTTCATCGCCGTCCCGCTCTACATCCTTGGCGTCGGGCTCATGATCTACTTCCGCAGACCCAGCTGGTCCGTCGGGTACATGATCATGTGCCAGATCTTCATCGCCTTCGCGGGCGGCACCATGATCATCTGCCAGCAAGTCGCGGTGCTCGCGGCGTCGGACCACGACCACGCTGCTTCCTCGCTTGCTTTCCTGAACGTGTTTGGCACGATGGGAAGCGCCGTGGGGAGCAGTATCTCCGGGGCGATCTGGACGCATACCCTGCCTGGTGCGCTGCAGCGTCTGCTTCCTGAGGAGGTGAAGGCGGATTGGGAGACGATCTATGATTCGCTGGAGGTGCAGCTCAGTTATGAGAGGGGGACTCTGGTCCGCCAGGCCATTGCCCTTGCGTATGCCAGTACCCAGAGCAAGATGTTGATTGCGGGGACGGCTATCATGGCGCTGTCGCTCATTTGGATGTTTGTTATTCGGGATATCAAGCTTACCAAGACACAGACCAAGGGAGTTTTGTTCTAGTGTGAGGTTTGTTGCTGCCAGATGAGCCTAAAAGGGGAGATTGGGAACTTTGAGTGGGAGGACTGCTCCTGTCCATTACGATTGTTAATGATGTGGGATATTATGGGTGGCCGTTCACCCTGAAGATGACTGTGGGATGTGAGATGAGGGTAATGGAAAGACACTGAAGAGTTATGTCGAATATAATTTAATGTTTTATAAGAGTTGCTCAGTCAAATTCTTTCGCTTTACAGAACCCTCCCTCTAAGGAGTAATTAATCCTTGATAAAGCTATCGACACATAGCATAAGCAACTTCGGCTATAGATGCAACTTCTGCAATGAGCCCCTAGATGCAATGGTACAATTATGTCTCTGGCACTATGTGAGTTCCAAAGGCCTCTTGACTAAAACATCATAGACTATCCTTTTCTTCCTAATGGTACTTCATGATCAAGTGATGCGAAAATTCTGTCGCCTTAAGGCTGGAATCCTTGTCATTTCCCTTGGCATCTTGGCAGCGTTATCTGATCAAGATCATTCTTCTTGTACTAAGGTACTAGGAACCCACCAGTAAGTCAGTAATGACAGCATTTCATGGAAATACAGCTGACGGATATCCACCCATACCATACGCTGTATTTCAATGTGGACATGATACTAGCGTTGATACGGAGTATGGTATTTCTCCCTGCTTTGATCTGATAAAGACAATGACTTGGCAGTGGGACGAGAAATGACTCCTAGATGATCCTACAGTGGACTCGGTGAGAAAATCTTCTTCTGTGACCCCATCCGGATGATGAATCTGCCGTGCTCATCTTATCAATCTGTTCTTCCATCAACCCCACTTTGTCCGACTTCGCTTCCTTAGCGACTCTTCCGTCGTAGTCCATGTGTACGGGATCGAGATTTGCTGCGGCAACTGGAGAAGCGCGTTCATGTTCTTTTCTTCAACACCTTGCTTGGTACTGTGTTTACTGCTCATGTCAATTGAGGCCTCTCGGTTTTACAATTGGTTCTCAATAATCAGAAGAGGGAGTCGATGTTTAGTTCTCATACTGAGGTTTGATGTCTACGACACATCACCACGAACCATGTACTCAAATGGAAGACTCCCAATCTACCATCTTATCTTCCCGGATGGTCACCTGTCCCGTCCAATCCTCTCTTTTCTGCGCGAATAAATTCCAAGCCTGCTCAGCAATATTCCCTGCATTCAGCGCTGGTGCTGATGGAGAGACCGCCCCGCCCACTACCACCAAGCCAACATGCACACCTTCCGGGGTAAATGCTTTATCCAACGACTTGACCAGATTAGCCTGAGCGGCTTTAACCATAGATAGTGAGAAAAGCTCTGGAATGGGATCAACAGGGAGCAAGCTACTCGTGACGAGGAAGGATGGTCGGCAATCAGTCCCGCTCGTTGCTTTCGCACGCAGAAGGGGCATCGCCCATTTCGCTACCGCATAGAGAGCGAGATTAGACACCTGTCGTGAGTCAATATTTGCCACTCACTTTGCATGAGAGTTGAAAATACCTTGAAATCCTCCTCAATACCCGAAATCGGAAACTCAAAGAAGGGGCTGGGTGCTACCCGCGCCGCATTGAAGTACACACATTCCAAGTCCCCGAATTGTGCGACCTCGGCGAGTGCCTCTTCCAGACGGTGCAGATCGCTAATGTCAACCTGCCAGGTCTGCACAGTGACAATGCGGTTGGCGCTCGCTGCGGAAGCGAGTATGGTCTCTCGGTCTTTCTCCAGCTGGACGGGGTTTCGTGCGAAGAGAGCAACGTTGTCGAAATATCGCTGGGCAAAGAGGGATGCAACGGCTACGCCGATACCAGGGCCGGAGCCGATGAGGAGAAGGGTTTTATTTGACATTGTGTGGATTTGAAGACCTCTCTGATAATGTGGAGAATTGGGGTGGGAATGAGATCTAAAAGTCTGGTATTTATATCGCGCTGAGGTGAAGGTGGCTTGCGCAAATCAATGCTAGCGGCCGCTGGTGGCATATCTGGTGACTTTATAGAATGTTTGCCTCTATTTCATTATGTCTGTAGCGTGGCAGCAATCAGAATGAAAGTCAAACAACTGTCTGGGCCAATTGAAATCCAGAGGTCTGCAACTGAGTCGCGGCTTAATTTCCATTATTAGATGCGTGCATTCTCACTGGATGTAAAGGCACTGCTTTATTGACATATATGTCAGCACTAGCGGCCGCACGGCCGATCCTACTAGGTGGATGAAAATGGAAGCAATGTGAGGCAAGAATGCACAAGGGAGCTTTTAAGTCTTGCACATTTGTCATTTTATTCCTGCTGTCATCATGGTCTTCCAAGATCTTTCCATAGCTGAATAATAAATGGCAGATCTACATTCTACGGGGGAAGCGAACCGGTACTATATAATGTAAAGTAGGATCCCATATCAGTACGTTCATAAAATGCAGAATCATAAGCGCTAATGATTCACTTGACATCCCTTCTGCGTACAAGATCACATACTAATCCCTCCTGCTGCACAAACCATACATTTTTCGTCTTCCATTCCTTCTCTGGACTATGCAGTCGGATCTCAAACTCCCGCAAAAGCTGCGGGATAATCTTATGCATCTCGATAAGCGAAATGTTCTTACCAATGCAAGTCCGAGACCCGGCCCCGAACGCGAAGAAGCTCTGTTCCATCTTCTTCAAGTGCTGCGGGTCGCTGTCGATCCATCTCTCGGGAATGAACTTGTCAGGATCGGGGAACACCCGCGCATCTCGGTGGAGAACCCATGCGTTAATCCCAACAATGGTTCCATCGGGGAAATGTCTGTCACAGATGGTGACCCCGCCCTTGGGCACTTCGCGCTCGAGGATCAAACCCACGGATGGATGTAGTCGCATTGCCTCCTTGAGAACGGCCTGTAGATAGGGCAGGTGATTCATGGACTCTCGGTAGGAAATCGGGTGGCTTAGTTTCCCCTCTCGGTCGGCATTATCGATCTCGGCGTTCAGTTTGGCCAGGACGGACGGGTTACGAAGGAGGAGGTAGAAGACAGCTCGCAGAGCAATGGCAGTGGTGTCTGAACCGGCAAACACGTTCGTCGACAGATGGACGATGACGTCCCGGGTGGTAAGCTTCTCTGGGTCAGACACATGGATGGCCATCCACCTGGACAGCATGTCCTTTCCTGCTTCTGGTTTCTCCGCATCGAGCTCGCCGTCTCGCTGCAGCGATGCTCGCGAATTGATAGCCTTGAGAGTGAAATTCAGGACCTGGTTCCATGTCTCCATGCTGGGCATGAATATGGGGAAAAGCGGATTCCCCAGTAGCAGCGGGTGAGCCTCGGGGATCTGACCACACACACTAGCATACACCAGCATCCCCTGGATTGCTTCAATCATGCCGTCGACATCCTTTCCCTCCTGCAGAAAACCGAGTTTCTTGGCAAAGGTGAATTCCCCGACCACATCAAAGGCGTAGTATTGCAGCCACATACCCAGGTCGACGGACTTCTTGCTATTCGCGAATCTCGCCAGCTGATTGATGAATATCTCGGTGCAGGAGTCTACTGCGGATTCAAGTTCCAGCAGCGAGGTCATGCTGTAGGCGTTTGCCACTGGCCGCTTTTGTTCCCGGTGGAACATCTCGTCGCGGGTGGAGAAGAGGTTCATCTGTGGCTTTTTGTTCCATGATATGCACTGGATGGGATAGAAACCGGTCTGCTAGCGTCAGCCATTATCATTGGAATTTTTGACTGACTTCTAACCTTTGTAAAGCCCTTGTTGAGACCGTAGATGATCGGAATAGCACTGGGATCTCCAACAGATACGTGCTTCGGACCAATGCGCACCAGCGGTCCATACTTGCGATGCAGGTCAATGGCGGTAGTGTGGTGATCGCCCTTCCAGACACTGTGCAACTTCCACAGACGAGTCCATTTGGCGATTGCGGGGCCTGGAATTCCCGCAAGGCTCCTACGGAAGCGATTGGTGATTAGACGAAGGACCACCACGGCAATCACGACGTATGCGGCGTATGCCTTGAATGACGATAGTATTGAAACTTCCATGCTGACTGACAGATGAGTTCAGCTTGATGAGTGTGCGGTAATATCCAAAGCGATCCTTGGCGTCTTATATGCTTGAAGATAGTAGCACAACTATCGGCTCACGTTCTCACATCCGATGCGGAGACCCGATCGGAAGTGCCTCGGGTGCGACTTGCTTATAAGGTAATTCTGAGCACTGATAAGGTGGTATGATAAGTGCATGTCTGTCCGAGAGAGGCGAATCCCACGTGGGGGAATTGCGGAGGCGGAGAAGATCTACAGCCTTGCGCGGGGAAACAAGAGCACCGATCAAAGCACAGCCAATGAGAGGTAGTCTGCGGTCCCAGAAACAAGTCGACAATTAGACTTTAACTTAATTTATCGGGGAGGATTTCTGTTCTCAATTATCCAGGGACATTGGTATTCATCCGACCGACAAGGCAGTCATCGCTTCCGAATTCTTGCAGATCATGAAGATCGAGGGTAGAAGACTACTATTAGACTTCAGAATGCGATATTCCGTCTAGGGACTATGGGGTGATCCGAATATGCGGGGAAAGGAACTGAGTTGGAGACCTGGTGGCCCTGAGTGAAGAAAATCGGTGAGGCCTTGTCCAATATCCTGCAACATATGTAATGCAATCCCTGAACGCTATGCTCCAGGCTCGGGGTGCGAAATTGCAACCGATTAAATTGCACGTGGATTCGACATAGACATGGCGATCGCAAGGGGTGATCCCTTGGCTGCTTGATACAGTATGACATAATCATATCAGCTGCTAGTTAACTAGTTAAGTTATAAGCATTCCAGCGGTATGCATAAGCCTTGCATTCTTTCCCTTCCTCACTGATTTATATTTTGCAATATATCATAGTACCCTCCTTATCAGCCTGTGCGATAGTTTGTATTAGTAGCGAGATTGTGATGTCAACAATGGCAGATCGTCCCCTAATCCAGAAACAAATTCATGAGACTATGGAAGTTTTCTTAAGGGCTACAATGCTTCGACATCAATTCCGCCAATTCAAAGATTAGCAACACGCCAAGCAGCACCTGGATTAACGCTTCAATTCGAAATGCACAAGCATCACTTCTCATCACCTGATAAGATGTGTGCATGCTGTGAATCTACCTAAGACGAGGGCCAAATTATATATATGTATGACATCCTGCACCATCCCCGATCAGGCGTGGTGGGGACGGGCGCTAATTATAATGATTGATCACCCGTGGATTGACGACCCGAATCGCCTCCAATTCGCTTCCAATACCGTCAATTCGGATCAAATTGGCCTCCATCTATTAGCCATGGCTCGCTCTGACACACAGTAAGTGCGCTTCCACAACGCCATCGACGTATGGCTTTAGCATGGCATATTGATCGCCGACATGAGAGTAGGACAACAACGACGGCCACCAGCTTCCCCGCAATCCGGGCGTGCATCTTCGACTTGGACGGGCTTCTCATCAACTCCGAAGACAAAATCACTCGATCCACCAACCGGCTTCTTGAAAAGTATGGAAGACCTGTCTTCACTCCGTCAATTCGCGCCTCGCTTATGGGCGTCCCCGACTCAACAAACAGCGACCTGTTCCACGACTGGGCCAAGTTGCCCATCTCCCGCGAGCAATTTGCCCGTGAATTGAGGGAAGAAGTGCACCAACAGTTCCAGACTTGTACCCCGCTGCCTGGCGCGGAGAAGCTCTTGTCAAACCTCGGCCGTGCACGTAGTGCTTCTTCTGGCGAGCGGATCGAGCTGGCATTGGCATCTAGCACCAAGACCCATACCTTCGAATTGAAAATGTCCAGACGGGAAACCAAACAGCTGCTTAGCATTTTGCCATCTGAGAGGCGGGTCCTGGGTGATGACCCACGAGTGCGACAGGGTCGAGGGAAGCCAGCGCCGGATATATATCTTGTCGCGTTGCAGGCGTTGAACTCTACAGCAGACTCTGGGAAGCCCATCTTGCCCAGCGAATGTTTGGTCTTTGAAGATAGCGTGGCCGGGGTAGAGGCTGGGAGAAGGGCGGGGATGAGGGTTGTTTGGGTACCGCATCCGGATCTGGGGGTTGAATATCAAGAGAGGCAGAAGGAGGTGCTTGCTGGGAGGACGGGAATGAGTCAAATCGGGGACGAGTGGCAGCTAGGAGAGATTGATGACGGCTGGGCTGAAAGCATACCGAGTCTGGATCATTTTGATTATGAGAAGTATGGTATTGTTGCACCATCCTAGGTGAGCTATTGTCGACCCAAATCGGTTCTCCTGGAATGACTGGATCTGCTCCCACGCAGGAGGAATCTATCCATCGATGTAAATAAAATGTAGATGAGGATAGATACAGAGGACATCTATCTATTTACCGATGGGATGCCGGTGAAATTCCTGCTATCTATTTGACCCTACAGTGATAAGAAAATGTCAGTATACACCAAATATAGGTACCTCTTTATGCTAAGGCATGCCTCGTTTGCAAAGGTACGACTGACCCTCCTCAAAACGTTGCTTCCGTTCGCGCACTCTACTGGTCCCTTGCGACTCAGAAAATAGAGCCAAAACTGGTGGAGTAAAGTCGATCTCTTCCGTGCTAAATCACTTCCACCTTGATACTGAGATTGCGCCTGTGCCCGCCTGGGTGCTCCCATCCACCATGCTCAGCACCTAGTAATCGGCAATAACATGGCACAATGACCACTCCACTTCCTTTAAGCACATATTTGAAGGCGTTTTGTCTCAGGTAGTATACCATGCATTTAACTTTTGTAATACTGATTGTCTGGCTAAGGCTCGGAGTGCGGCCGGTCTGTACAATATCCGATGGCAAATACTCGCTCGCGTAACATCTGCTGCACTTACATGAATACCTATCCTGGTAATAGAATACCGAGGCAATACTCATTAGTATACTTTGGAAGGCAAGTAGATACGATCCTCTAATTGGCCTCCAGTGCCAATGTAGAAATACAGAGTGGTGGATCTCGACATCTATGCCGTCGCTTATATGTGTAGACGACACTGGGCTATGCATGTACTAGTTTAGACTATTATGGCATGATCTTGTATTTTTGTTTTATCCTTAATAGGACAGGTCTGGTATCATGTGCTGCTGTGTTGTGGTTATTACCCTTTGCAGCGAATGGTGAGGTCACCCGCCTCTGGTAAGTTGCAAACGTAACACACCATCGAATGTCAATGACATAGGGCCACATTGGGCTCCATCTACATTACCCACACTTTATCATATAAAGAATCAACCTGATCAGCCAGTTGTCAAGCAAAACAATAATCACAGGTCCAGATCATTTACAATCAATAGGCTACATCACCCATACCAAGACAATGTAAGCCCACACCTTCTCCATATAGTTCTTAAGTTCCTGCTATTCTAACATGAGACACTCTTATGAAACAGATGCCAGCATCACAAGGAACAGTGAGAGGTTCTGGCCACAACATCCATGGTCAATTTTTCGTCGACGGCATCATGCACAACCTCGATGTATACATTACTGGTGAACCTCTTCCACACTTCAACGTCTCCAACGCCAGGTTGACCTACGAGTCGCCCAGAAAATTGCGGGGCCGCGAACTCCTTCAGCCTAGCTCACGGGTTGGAGGATCCGACATTTCTTTGTCTCTGACGGGTCCTTCAGGTACTCAGTCTATTACCGGTCAAATTGAACCGCCACTGTCAGAGGATTTCCAAATCTCTGGGCAGGGAGCTTGGGGGGTTTATAAAGATGATGATGACGACTAAGGAAAAGTCTGCTGTTCTCATTCCCGCCTGGTTCTTTGATACAGTACCTGTTGTCTCTTTGAATTCAACCTAGCGACCAATATCTCAGATGGTGCAATGAGTAATGATGTCCATCCTGGAATAGGTGGTCACACCTCTTTAGATAACTGTGGGTTATGTTATGTAGTGCAACCCTCAATGTAAGCGCTTGATAGAAGAACCAACCTGAATGTCCCTGGCACTAAATTCTAATAATAGCTATTAATAAAGGATGGCATATCATGTAGTATAATGTTAAAAATACTTTTATGAATGCTGATATTAATGTTGATATATCCACTATATTACCTATAGGGGTCTATAATAATCCTAAATATAGGAATAAAGTCTGCCATCTTAATAAGGCTATATATATGGCCTAAAGCAATCCCCAAGGCTTTGGTATAAATACCTATCTAAAGTCCTAAAAGAACTAGATTTTCATGTCCTTCCTTATGATGAAGGAATATTTATAAATGCCACTAATAAATTTATTATTATATGCCATGTGGATGATATACTTATAATACATGAAAATCTAGCCTATATTAGAGAGATATCTAATAAGGCTCAAAGATTTATAAAACTAAAAGAAATAGGTTCAGTGAGACAAGTTAATCTCCATTGATCTTGTCAAAGCTTGCGAAAAAGAATTGCACGGCATGCACTAAGAAGAGCTAATCTACCAACGTAACTCAATTAAATTAATAGAAGTTGATGAGTTGAAAGAAGGCGAAAGGACGTAGTAATGAGCGGGCCTTTTAAACCCCATCTATCTCTTCTGGTAAACTGTACTCGGAGTAAAATGCTCTGAGTTGCTTCCGTGGCCCAAAGTTACATACAAAAACCAAAGAAATGAGGAGCAAAGCAACAATTAGTAAGAGGAGACTATAAGTAACTCTCCGCTTACATTGACAGATCTTCTTCTTGGCTCGTAACGGCCGGCATCTGATCTCCTAGCGAGGCTCGTTGACTGACAGTGTTAGTACTGTCGTATGTCGGGTTGTCGGGAATCTCAGGATACCCTTCTGATGTTTTCCCATAAACTGTATGCCAATTGAATGGTGAGAGTGGCTTCTGCAGTCTCAGTCGATTTTGTTTTTCTTTCTTGGTTTGCCATTTATTTTCCGTATAAAGAAGTAATATAGATCAATGAGAGCTTACTTTAATCACTATCCAATTGTGCTTGTAGCTGCACTACATGGGATGAGCTAGGATATGTATTATCGTGCCAGTATAATGACTTTACGCCTCGTGGATATACTGGATGTACTATAGTAAGTCATAATGAATTAAATAGTTAACCCTAACTTTTTAATCATGCTTACTATATGTGGTTCTTCCGTGGTAGTTGAAACTGTGACAGATCAATGGGAGTTTACATTGATCAGTAATCATCCCCGCATTGATTGATCAGTAATCATCCTGCATCCGACTGTTCTAACCGAGGGCCAAGGTTGGGATCTGGATTCGAGATCCAAAATGCATTGCCCAACAGTTCCTGAATATATGGCTATGGCTGACAATAAAGCGGGAGCCATGTTCAAAATGCTGGTCCGCCCGATGCAAGGTTTGTTGTCAACTGACTAGCCAGTTGCAGACTCAGATTCACGCTAATTCTCAGTAGGTGGTGTTAAGTCCGCTGACCTTCAAAATATTCAGCATATAGTGTATCACAAGAAAATGGGTTCTGTGACTTAGATGAGGGCAAATTTTTCTACCCTGTGGTGGTGTGCTGTAATTAAGACCCAGCGGCCCGCGATGTGATTTTGGGGATCTTTTGGCGCATGGTTGATGGAAGAAAACTTGATAAAGAAAAGAATAAGTATAGTGAAGAGAATAAACCTGTAACCCAGCAGGTTACGGAAGGGTATCAAACTTCCGGCGTTTATATCTTCAGGTTTATTCTAACCATGAAGCTATGGCTTGACAGTAATCCAGAAACCACTAAAATACCCCTGTCATCTGCGAATTCCGAGGCCTCTGAGAGTTACTAACGATTAGACAATTGTGAATTAAAGCCCTGTAGGTCAGGAACTAGTCCTCTCCCCTAGGTAGATGAAATATCTGTTGGCGGCAATTTGGAGTGAGACTTTGTATAAATGCAGACAGAACGTGTATATCTCTGCCAATATCATTCTACGACCGGCAGAACTTTTAGCGTAATAGGCATGAAGTTTGGAGAAAGCTGTTGAACGCTGCGGATATACGCCAACCTGCGTCGAAGTTCTAGTCATCTAAGAGATATAGGCTTCAGATTATTAGCTTAGGTGTCTGGTATATCATTAGAATGTACACAGCTATACTGGCACGCATACACTACCGCTGCCTGGATGTCACTTCTTTCATTTTCTCTTTTCTGGCAACTTTGCCCATAAGGTGGAGATTGACAGCCGGGCGGCGTGGATACCTCTTAAGAACCAGCTGTGAACCCAAGCCCGCTGCGCCGCCAGCGAACGATCACTAATCACAAATCGTATATGATGACTCGGTTGTTCGCTATGGGTGATTACATAGGCATATAATGAGATGATCAATCTTTTCTGCATGGGTGTCATGTCGTTTGCTATTCAGTGTTGGGTATACTTGATACTAGGCCATCAGGTTGATACCTTGAGATTCTTTAATCTAAGGTTATCACACAAAATGTCTTCAAGCATAGGCTCAACGGAACATGACAGTGATGTCGAAAGAAGATCCAATGCACGAGATGTAGAGCTCTTATCTTGGGACGATCCCAATGAGAAGAGAAATCCAGTTAATTGGAACATCTTTCTGAAAACGCTGCATACCTTTATTCCCTGTGCTTTAGCCTTTTGGATGTAACCAATCTATACTCTTTCCTTTCAACTTGAATGTGAGTAAGCTGACGCAAATCCTGCACAGAACTTTTGGCACATCTGTTATGGTGCCTGCGACCACATTAATTGCTGTCGAATTTCATGTCAGCCGAACGGGATCCATTCTTACCCTGGCACTCTATACCCTTGGGATCGCCCTTGGACCTATTTTCATTGCCCCATTGTCCGAGATCCTAGGCAGGAAATGGTTGTATGTGATTACCGCTTCGTGCCTCCTTGCCTTCACTGGAGCTGCCGCAGGAGCACAGAACTTCGGTACCCTCCTAGTTTGTCGGTTTCTGGCAGGCTTTCTTGGCTCGGCAGGGGTTGCCATTGGGGCCGGTACAATTAATGACTTGTGGGCATTAGGCAGAACAGGAGGTATTGTCTCTCTCCTATTTATATTGGGTCCCTTCCTAGGTCCGAGTCTCGGACCGCTCGCCGGCGCCTATATCCTACACAATCACCAAGATGACTGGCGGTGGACACAATACCTTCTTCTCATCTTGGGAGCACCGATCGTGCTAGGGACGCTGTTGATGCAAGAAACCGCGAAGAACAGAATCTTGCGAAACGCGTCCAAAGTCAAGGGAGGCAGTGAAAGTGGGAACCAGCGAACCCCTTTTAGCCAGATTATGCGCTTCTCCGTTGTTAGGCCTATTAAGATGCTGTGCAACGAGGCGATTGTTCTGTCGCTGACCATATATACGGCCTTTGCCTATGCGGTGACCTTCAGCTATTTCGGCAGTGCGATGTATGTGTTGCAGCTGGAGTATGGATTTGATCTCCGACATGCCGGGCTGGGCTTCATCAGCGTTGTTATTGGATATGTGATGGCAATCATCACTTTCCTTGTGTTTGACAGCACCCTTTATGCGATGGCCCTCCAGGCTGCAGGCGGAGAAGCAGCACCAGAACATCGCTTGTATGCTGGGATGATGGGAAGTGTTCTTCTCCCTGTTGGACTATTCTGGTGATTGATTCAAATCAAAAGAACTTCTGTTGCATACTAATGTGGGATTAGGAATGCGTGGGAGGCCCACCGGGGAGGCCATTGGGCTGCCTTGGTAGCTGCTGGGGTTCCCTTTGGATGGGGCGCATTCTCCTTGTTTGTAAGTGTCTCTGATGACTATGAAGATGGTTCATGTTCAAAATTAAGTTCCCCATTAGCTGTCTACGATCATATACATGGCGCAAGTCTATCGCGCAGAAGCTATTGCCTCGGGTAAGTGTCGCCCTGGGAAAATGCGTTGAATGATGACCGTTATTAAACAAAATCCCATGCAGCGCTCGCAGCCAATGGAACATTGCGATACACCCTCGGAGCAGTATTTCCACTCTTTACTATCCAAATGTACCAAGCTATGGGGATTCACTGGGCAGGAAGTGTTTGGGCATTTATTTCGGTCGTCCTTCTCCCTATTCCTTGGCTCCTGTTTAAGTATGGAGATAGATTGCGTGCAAAGAGCCAATTTGCCCAAATGAAGCACTAACTCAACATGTGGAGGTGTGTGGGCTATTAATTATTGCAGAAGAGATCAGAAAAGCCAAATTAGTAGCCCCAGTTTTGTATTAGCAGCACTGTATAAATATCAACCTTGCCTCACCATATTATTAAGATTGCTTTGCATTGGCACTATATCTATATTTCCAAATAGACTGAAGGAATTCCTGCATAATTTATGACGGTCTTTCAGCCAGTGAATTGAGTGACTTCCAGCTCTTTCCACGCCTCCAAATGGGAGTTGCAGGCTAATTCCGTACGACGCTTTAAGTTCGAGGTCAAAAAAGAGGTTGACGTGGGGATACTACCACAGACTCCAACAACTGAAAGAGATGAACCGTGTTTAGACAAACATGGAAGGCAAATGTAATGAAAGTATTAAATGTATTGGTGAAGATGCATGATACTTGTAGGCGAGGGGTCAGAGATGGACATGCATCAAGCACTCTTCTGTGTCCTTTGATTAGCGCCATTAGGATGACTTCCAGCATGCTGTATTTTGTGGCTGTTAGTACAGGACACTGGGAGTTTCTGGGACGTGAAAATCAGCTGTTCACTAACTGTACACAACTATTGGCGGCTAAGGTAAGGCCACAGCACATCAAGAATATTGATGCAGTACGGAGTATTGTTGACCTCAATGGCAGGCATCTGTGCGGGGACGCAGGTCTTGATTCTTTGTAAGCTCCAATCACCCAGCCGCCTCGATATCGCCTACGGAGCGACAAACTTTAGAGATGCTTGGATAATGCATTGATTATGTGCTCATATCTGGAACCTGACGGAAACTTATATCATGACAGTAAGCCAAAGCTTAGGGATTCAGGAGCCCTTATCTCTGCTAATCAAGACTAAGGTATTCCAATGGATTTAAGGCGCTAGCTTTGCATTCATTGAGATGGTGACTATAGCTCGGGAGATATTTATCGCAACCTGCGACACTGTGAGCTCACCACCAATGCCGAACTGGCCTTTTGGCTGTTAAAATTATTGAAGCGCAGCCGCCGGGATCTGGTCAGCATGAAAAAAAGGTATCCTATAATATTGAGTGTCTCAACTTATCCGTCAGGGTAAGCCAGGATAAGGATACATGCAGTCGCCCTTCAGGTTTACATACATAACTGACCGCCTCCCTTGCGAGATCGAGTCCGCGGCGAAACCCAGTCACCACACAGGATAAGTGTGACAGAGAGCACGGATCACATATCTAAGCAACAGATGTTTAGAGCCCCTCTGGCTTGATCCAAATTCCTCAGCGCATTAGGGCTAGTAAGGAGAGGCTGCTATTAAAGAGAGCGGTGTGTGGCGATGAGGAATTAGGTGAAGTAATTCATCTATGGGGTAGCGAGGATCGAAACAGACTGGATACATTGCAAAAAGGCCAACCTTATGTGAGATTAGTTTGTTGGCTTATGACCACCTAAGCAGATCCTGATTTATAAACTGCAGTGTACATCTTATACGTTGTTTCCCGATAATGCTTGGGGAAGGCTGAATGACTACAGAAAATATGGCCTGTGAGAACGGTCCAGTAAACTGCACAGTTATTCCTGGGATGGCCAATCTTCTGGAGAGAGCAAACCAAGCTCCCAGGAGCCCTTTATGCACTCCTGGGAACATGCTGGATACTTTTAAGACTGCTTCTAAAATACCAAACCCTCTTTGCGAGAGGCTTGCTAACATGTGGCAATTTGGTGTTTTATTAGCAGATTATCACGAATGGACAGGGGTTGATTATAGATAGTCGCGACTGTCTTGTCCAATATCACTGCCCTGAATTTAATCTATGAACAGTCAGAACAACCCCTCTGGAGTGCATTCAGCAGAACAGTTACTGCCTAGTCAAACCACACACCCCCATGTATATTGATTCCTCTCCACGGTGACCAGAGACAGTCAAATTGGTCACTTCAATCCCAACAGAACTCGTATGGTTGCGATGAGTCCGGGTCAATACGTTCAGATATCATTGTTACCCCCGGAGAGACAGCTGTCAAAGGATAAGGAGGGACCACAGTAGGCATTCTCGTTGAAGCTACCAACGGGGCCCAGCTTCAACCATCCATCCCAGGTTCCACCATGGTCCATGCGAAGGCACTGAGTACCGCAAATATTGTTGTGCTCGACATTGTTCAGGTATTTTTTGATAGCACCGGCAATGGTATCATGTTGAGCAGTGGTATCACAGTTGCGGCCAGTGGAGTAGTACGTCCACTTCAGGCCTTCAAAGGTGCCGTGCATAGCGTTGCAGTTTCCCCCGTTGGACAGATCCTTGATGGTTGTAGCGATATTTCTCGCGAAGGTGACAACATATGAGGCGATGCCAACGCAGGCACCTACTGCGATAACTGTCCGTTCACATACAGTGATTGGAGTACGTTCAGCAATTTCGGCGACATCACGAGTGTCGAGACTGGTTTCGTTGAGGCTGATTTGGAACCACTTGTCGGGCAGTGGCTTTCCATCGATGGTAGAGGGCCATGTAGATGCCAGCGAAGATGTTGTAAGACAGCAAAGTGTCGTAATCAACAGACTCTTTGCGAATAACATAGTGATTAAGGCTGTTGAAGATAATGATACCAGAAAGGAGGAGATAAAAGGCTGTGTCGGCAAGGCGATCAACGGAATCAGGCATTGCTTTAAGAACTGATGGATTTGAAATGATGAGGGAGGACCACCCTTCTCCTTATACATTAAGCTAGAAGGAGTCATACGATATATCACCTCCAGAGGATGATTCTACTTTATCCACATGCGCGATTTTCTGTCGAAGTACCAGGCAGGCATGAGTTCGCTGTGGTGGGGATTCTTATACTGTCCAAATAGCGGCCCTGTATGTCTCCTGCGACAGAGGAACTATATTAAACTCGCGAATTGCCTCCACAGCGGCTCTCTATCTGTGGGAACCGGGGACCAGTATGAATTCTCGAAGAGGTAGATGCGACTTTTCCGGTATGTAATATATCTGAGTCGGATATAGCGCCCCGATACTGGCAGCCAGACATTCGTAAAGCACCAACGTTTTATCTGTAGTCATTTGAAGCGCGCAATTTGCATAGGAGTTGTGATTAGATAGCTAGAGCCTTCAGCAATGTGATCTGCTGGCTGCCGGAGCAGTTGCCAGGCACGTCCTTTTTAGCACCTCTTTTTACTGGTTAGAACGTTAATACAAAAAAAATATATGCTTGGCATTACGTGAGGGGATAAGGTCCTCTTGGCCTCGGGAGTGGGATGTGGGCTATAATATGGGCGGTGCCAGACCAAGTGGGAGCAGCAGAAGGGCTAAAAACCAACATGTGAATATAAATGGTTAATTTGCAGAGCTAGTTACACTGATGTCTCATTGTACATTTCACTCTATGGCCAAAGAATGTGACCTTGGGAGATCCTCGGAGTTTCTATTACCCCTCTGTTTATCGCCAATGGACATTCTTGATTTTGGGACTTTCTTGCGCGCTTGATTTGCACAGCAGGAAGGTGGTTTACCTCATAAAATAGTTCAATAAATTGATATTTGTACTCGATAGCGATAGATGATACAGTGGCTTTTGGAGTTATATAAGGCAAGACTGTGATACCTTTCATGGCCTTTGTATACCACTAGATTAAATATCCTTTAGAGAGGCTCTGTCGATCTGAACTCTACATAGTAAAGCTTGTCTCACTAGTCACTTATTGAAATAGGGTTCGGGTTGGGCTTGCCACCATGGCTGTCAATTTTTTTGGACATTTCAACTTCAGCGCAGCTATCACATGCTTTGCCAGTCATATTAGCAAGTGGATCGGTCGGACACCATTAGGCATTCACTTCGTAGTACAGACAGTACGAGCACAGTCAGATAGAGCGACCTCGTACTGCCAGGAGGGACGACAATTGTCAACCTAAGCCAGCGACTTAAATTGTCGTTGCCAATGTGCCACATCGGCTCGGAAAAATGGTGGTCTAAACTTGTCTCAGTTTCTTGAACGCGGCCATTCAGCTCTTCAAGGCGATGTGTCCCGAACAGAGATCCTGCCAACATCACATTGGCTTTCTATCCAAATGATCAAACGCAAGATCTTCTGCAGCTCCCGCCATGTTCACGCCCAGCACATCAATATCCGGAGTTTAAAGAGATGCTTTTTGGTGACAATAATATCTTTCAGTTTCTGCAGGGAGCAGTAAACATTGAAAGTTCATAAACCAGACGTGTTTGGATACAGCAACATCGTAGTTATCGGTTGCTGCCATTCCTTGGCTTCGAACCACTGTGTTAACGCGGGCGCCATATCGAAGGGTAACTTAAGTTGGGCAGTATGTCTAGTCTGAGGTCTGGGAAGGTGCCGTGGACTCGCTTCCCCCGATGCTCTCGATTGATCATTGAATTTGATGAGTTCAGAGCCCCTTAAATGGTTCTGAACGCCCTGAAAAATTGGCTGAGGGAGGGGAACCAGACTGCATCCATGCAGCGAAAGTACATGACGTTCCTCCAT